ACATGACAAATCCAGCATTCACCCAACAGATGAAGTAATGACACTAGTATTTGTCCATAAAATATAATTTAGCCAGGCAACTCCAATGAAATCAGAAGCTTCCATGCTATAAAACTTGGGGTTTGGAATATTTTGACTTTATTGACAGAAGGGGGGGGGCAGGTGTAGCAGCCAGCCTTCATTTTCCCTTTACTGAACCATCACACTGCTGTCTTTGTTTTCAACAGTGAAGCGCACAGCCCCAAGCAAGCACTAACCAATTTGTGTAATTTCTCCTCTGAGTTGTACACATGGTGCCAAAAGCCCAATGCCAGATATTAAAGTCCACTGTCAGGCTTATCAGTGCTTTGAATAAAAGCTTCTTCCTTCTCAGTCTAACCAATATGTGAGGGCAAGCACCATATGGATTCTTTTGTGTTTTCAGTCTCTGTCCCATCATGTCCCAGGCCACAAGCACTCAGTAAATATATCAAGCTAAAGCATGTTCTTGTAAAGACCTAGTCAACAACTACAGACACATCTGCCAGAAATACAGGTTTGGGCTTGGTTGCAATACCTCCACGCAACTCCTGCCAGACATGAGATGTACAGCATGAGGTATATGTATTTAGATATCAGTCACTTCTTAAAATGTGAACTGAATACATAAAGAAACACGGGTCAGACTTAGCCTAAACTTTATATTTTGGGGGATTAGCTTATTTGCTTTGAGACCAAAGGCTACTGTCCACAAATTTAGGAGGAAAAAAAAATTAAAACAAGAACAGAAAAAAACAAAACCAAAAAAACCCCTACATTATTTGAAAGCCAAACACCGTGACATCGACAGCATACAAATACCTTCCAATTAAACCATCTAGAAACAAAAGTGAAATTCTCACTCCCAAATTGAAAGGGATAAAGAGAGAACAAAATCACAAACTGTGAAAAGTTGATAACACTTCAAAATAATCCTTCCTTGTGTTATAATGGGTTATTATGAAAACAGATACGAAAAAAATACCTGCTTAAAAAAATGGGTCAGATCCTGCAAGGATCAGTACATGATTATTTCTGTGAAAATACTTTTATGAAAGCACATTATGAAATAAAATGATTTTTATTATGAATGTTATGTATTTTATTAAATAAAACTATTTGCCTCCATACATTTTTGGAGCATTGCGTTTTAAATGGAGAATGTGTCCTTAAACAATTCCCGGTTTGAAATTCATGTCTCATATTGTTTTCATAATAGAATAACAATTATTTAAGTACTTGGATACTTCTGTACTTAATAAATAAAACCTAAAGGATGAGTGAGCTGTACAATTTAGAAACTGATTAAAATGTAGATAAACAGGCAAGAATGGGTACTTAAAAAAAATGTCTCAACAAATTATACTCATTTTTATTATAAACATCAGGGTCTTTTTATACATTTTTGGAGGATGTGTTGTGTTCTAACAGCTGCTAATAAAACCTAGTAAATGAGTTAATACAAAGAATTTCATCTGAAACCAAACCAACCTTTTGTTTCTCTAGATGATGACGATTAATAGAGCAGAAACTGCTACCTACAAGCCTCAATGTTCAATGACTAATATTTTTGCTATTAGAACATAAATTCAATAATTTCCTTCCATGCTTAAACAGAGCAACTGCTACCGATGTTGTTTTCTGGTGATAATTGCAATCCAGGGATGATCTAGTTACAGACAAGGCTCAGCAGCTACATTCCCACAGTGCTAAGGCCCCAGGTTCACTACAGGGAACCCATAGGTCCAAACTGTAGTTTCTAATCACTCAAGAGTCAATGACTTCTATATTTAATCAGTACCAAGTGTCTCTATTAAGGAGATTTGTATAAATACAAGTTTCTACCTGCAATAAAATGCAGCAGAATATAAAGGTACTTCAGTAACAGCTGCTAGGCTAACACTTAGAGGGGAAGAATATTCTTGTAATTAAGGACCTGGACTGAGACTTGAGAATGAACATCAATTCTACGTTCTGCTACAGGCTTTCTGCGGACCCAGGGCAAGTTATTTAGTGTCTCTATACAACACGTATAATAATATTCCTTTTCCCCATCTTACACTGTAAACTCTGACTATGTGACATGCACAGTGTGTTGCACAATGAATCAATCCTTAATCTTGGCTGGAGCCTCCAGTATTACTATAATAAATAATAATAAATTACTCTCCCTTGCACGAGGCCCAAACAGAAAGATTTATATGGAGAATTTTGCATCATCATCATCTCCTGCTATTGCAGTCTGCTATTGCAGTCTAATTCCCTCTGGGTGAAAGCTGTCCCTGGGCAATGGACCAGAACAAAGCCTAATATTTTGAAAGCTTGTGGCTGCCTAGTCATTGTACTGGTCCCTCTACATGATATGAACTTCACCCTCAGTGCACCATCATTTTGTTTGAGCTAGATCAGAAGTTTGTGGCACAGAAGAGAATATCACAAGAATAACACCTTCCATCAAAGCTTCCAGACAGGCTGTATTGCACAGCTACAATTTACCATTGTACATCCTTCAGCCTTTTCTATTCCCACTGCAAGAAACTCAGTATATTTATTCTGCCAGTTTTGTAAATTTGAGAGAGCACAACTGAGCTGACCAAATCCTTGCTTTAATAAGGTCCTTCCGAGTAATTACAATATAAAAACAAGAATACTTCACACATACATTTTCACTGAAAATCTCAGGCATTGCTGGCTGTCGACTTCTAATTGCCAGAAGAGTTCAAGGTTTGGAAAGTTATTGGTGTCGAGTAATAATGGATATTCCCAACAAGCATTGTGTCATTACTTGGCACAGATTTTGCTGGGATACCTCCAAAATCTGTGACATAATCAGAGGTTATTACACCATGTAGTCAGATGCTCGTGTTCATATAATGCATTACCATGTTTAATACCGTTTGCTATTCCTTACACTTAATCAACTCTAGAACTAGTTAAATCATAAAGGAAAAGCAAATTTCAAAGGTTTTCTGCTGACAGTTTTCAAATGTTTTAAGTACGCAACTCAAGTTAAAATTATGGGCTGAAGCTTGAGAGAAGTGATGTGCAAGTATAATTGACTCGAAACACCCCTCCACAACCCTCCATCACACTATGGAAGCTGAAAAGAAATGTAAACGAAGGGAATGTCTGTAGAAACTGAACTTCTGTAGAAGTACCTTGGCTAGAAAAGGGCTGCCAGAGGGCTCCCTCACTGCCTGTATTAACTCACTCTCCCATTCTATTCCATACCCAACCACGGCCCTCAGCTGTACGTGTCAATAGTCCAGAAGCAGCACTACTTCTTTGCACTAATTCCCCATCCAAGCTAGAGACATAATTCAACGTCCATTTAAAAAAAAAAATTCATGAAAACTGCTGGTGACTTCAGCAGTCCTCTCAGAGCCACCAATGTCAGTTCACCTACAGCTTTAGAGCCCTTTCTGTGTACCTAAAGAGCAATAAGTGTAACATCTGCACCAACAAACAGAACCAAGATTTTTGGATGTGACTGGCGATTTTGGGTGCCCAATTTACAAGAGCCTGATTTTCAGAAAAGACTGAGTGGTCCCCTTCCAAATCTCAGACCCCATTAAGAGATCTCCAGTCAGTCAGGCCCCTAAGCAATGAGAAACCCAAACATCACTAATTACTTTTGAAAATCTTGAGCTCATTATTTACTTTCCTGCTTCTCCATAGGAAAAGAGTAGATATTTAAATAGATGACATAATCCTTATTACCATTCCATTCATTCATGCAGGTCACTGTAATTTGCTGCCAGGAAAAATAAACTTCTGCATAATATTCTTGAATGCATGACATTCAAAAGGCTTAAAAGAGGGAAGAGGGGCAGGGGGTTCCTAGCAAATATTTGCTCAAGTGACAGCATCATCCATGGTGAACACTTTAGCTATAAGAACTGGGTGAAAGTGCTAGTCAACACAAAGTTGACTAGTTTGGAGATTTATTAACCCATTTTACCTTAACAAAGAACATACCTGGCACTTCTAAAAGGGGAAAATCCCCTTTTAAACCTCCTTGCGATCACTAGCAAAGCTAAACCAAAGGAAAAGAAAATCTCCAAGGAGCACTGCACCCTTCTGGTTCTTCCTTTGATACATTTGGTAAAACAAATCTATTCCTGAGCTAGTGAACATGGCTTGAGACTATACCCTCCCACCAGCTGGGCAGTGCAAAAGGGATTTGTGTGTAATACAATTTACTACAATTCCTGGCAGTCATTGGTGCTGCACCCTCAATAAACTTTGTTTAAACAAGTGTTCAAACAAAAATGGCTTTGTCTATAGGTCAGTGCACTGCAACTGTAAGTATATTTTTACTCAGACAACCAAGTGCTGCCACTGCTCTAAAAATCTCTCTATTTGTTTGGGCTTTAGGCAGCCGAGGAACAGAACCTCTCCCAGTGAACCAACACTACAGATGAAGTGAGCAGTGCAGCTCAGCTTAACCAGTTTCTGAGATTTTCATGTCTGGAAATGGGTGGGGTTTGACATCTTCACAGTCATCTCTTCAGCTGGCCTTCAGGACGCAGCAGGTAAACTCACACCATTAATGAATCAATGAGACCTTTCACACTTCACTACTACAAGTGTGCTGAGTTTGAGTAGGTGTGAGTGAGCAGGAGAGAGAGAAACAGGAGGAGCATTATTCAATGCTGTGACTAAAAGGCGAAGCAGCCTGACAGAATTGAAGATATCCTTATATTTAATCTAATACCATTCTTAACAAAAAGCCATTGCGGGTTAGTCCTCAATGACCAAAGAAAACTCAACCAGCAATTTCAAAACCTGTCTTATAGCCAATAGAGCTTTACTCACCAACAACATCAAGGTGGTATGTGTGATTGATGGACCCATATTCGTTTTCCACTATACACGTGTAATTTCCTTTGTCAGATGGGACTACGCTCTCCATAATGAGACTCCAGTGCTGGTTTCGTACCTGGTAGGATTGCAATGAGAGAGTTTTAAAACCTTAATAGCACAATTTTGTTCTCCTTTCACCCACACAAAGGAAGTTAATCTTTTTTTTTCATTACATAATTTTTTAAAAGCGACTGCAGTGCTGGATTGACAGTTCTGGAGTCTGAAATATTTTATTTATGCATGCAGCAAGAATAGAAAAGAAGTCTCAGTGAAAGCATCATTTATAAATGTACTTTACCATCAGCTTTAATGCTCAATGCACATTCAGTCTTTGACTGACATCAACAGTGCCAATTAGTGCCAGTTGCATTGATGGGTTTATGACATGGACACCAGTCCACACTAAACACAACTCAGATCACCAACACTCCAGATCTGTCTCCAAACAATTATCGGACAGTACTGTCTATTGCTCACAAGCCAGGCAGCATAGACTTCCATAATGTCAAAAGCTTTAATTTAATAATTGAATCATATACTGAGACTTTCTGTGAAATAAAAAAAAAAAAAAGTGTGCAACATTCACAGTCCCACTGGGTAGCAGGCACGTGTCTTGTCATTCTGGAAGAATACAATTCATACAAATGGAGAAGCTTTTTCCAGAAAGCAGATTTAAAAAAATCCTAACTGGTACAAAATATAAGGATGTGAGGAACAACAATGACAGATTTTGGAAAATGAGTAAGACAATCACGCCGAACAAGGCTGGTAATTCTTTCATGCAAAAACATTTTATTCGGAGAAAGTGGATTGCGTGAAAGAGTAGCTACTGGGCTGATCTTCTTCCCCAAAATGCAGAGGGAATTTGGCCACTGATTTTGCTAGAAGGAGGAACAGGGCCATATACTGCTATGAAAATAGTTATTCACATACGGATATGTATTCTCTGGATGATGAATCGACTCCCAAAGTGACATTGGCTCTTTGTTCCCCTTGAACTTCCATCAAACTATTGTTTCAACAGGCAATTTATGAGACAGACATCTTATTATGCTACAATTGCACTACATACCAGCTATAATGTACAAGTTTTAGAAAATGGAACACTGCAGTCAGGTACAGTCATTTTAATCCTGAAAAATGGAAAGCAGTAAATTACCTCTCCCTCAACATTACATTCTGAGATAAATTTTAGAGGATACAGCGATACTGGCAGTAATTACGCATCTAAAAAAAACCTAAACCGGGATTAAAGCTTTTAGGTACATAATTCTACTTCTCCAGTTACTATATTGGTACTTATCCAACAGACAGGGCAACTAATGTTTAATATTAATATTGATATCCATGCAGGTTTTCATTCACACTTGTGAGAATAATAAAATCCCTAGGCCTGGCATTTTCCATAATGTAACAGTTAGCAAAGCCAAGAGTCCTTGTGCTTTCACCTAGTTATTAGCTACCAGAAAATAGTCAGTTTGGTTATTAGTGCTTTAAAAATAAGGTCAAATCCTGGAAAAGACTCCAAATCTATGTAAAATCCTGAATAGTAACTAAGCTTCTCAGAAAGATCACAGAATTATGGGACAAAAAACCTTCAGCTCTAGTTTACAATACTCATCATCAAATTGAGCTGCTCAACAACTGGTGAGCTTTTGGACCTGTGGATTCACAGAATCACAGAAAATCAGGGTTGGAAGGGACCTCAGGAGGCCATCTAGTCCAACCCCCTGCTCACAGCAGCACCATCCCCAACTAGACCATCCCACCCAAGGCTGTCTAGCCAGGTCTTAAAAACCTCCAGGGACAGAGATTCCACCACCTCTCTGGGTAACCTGTTCCAGTGTTTTACTACCCTCCTAGTGAGAAAATGCATCCTAATATCTAACCTCAACTCCCCTTGCTGTAACTTGAAACCATTGCTCTTTGTTCTGTCATCTGCCACCACTGAGAACAGTCTACCTCCAACCTCTTTCGAACCCCACTTCAGGGAGTTGAAGAATCCCCCAATAATCTTCTCTTCTCCAGACTAAATAAGCCTAGCTCCCTCAGCCTCTTCTCATAAGTCAGGTCCCCCCAGCCTCCTCACCACTTTTGTTGTCCTTTGCTGGACTCTCTCCAATTTGCCCACATCCCTTCTGTAGTGAAGGGCCCAAAACTGGACACAGTACTCCAGATGTGGCCTCACCAGTGCTGCATAGAGGGGAACAATCACTTGCCTTGACCTGCTGGCAACACACCTACCGACACAGCCCAGTATACTGTTAGCCTTCCTGGCAACAAGGGCACACTGTTGGCTCATATTCAGCTTATTGTCCACTGTAACCCCCAGGTCCTTTATTGCAGAGCTGCTGCCCAGCCAGTCAGCCCCCAGCCTGTACCAGTGTATGGGATTGCTCCATCTTAGAGGTGCAGGACTTTTCACTTGTCCTCGTTGAACCTCATGAGATTTCTTTTGGCCCAATCATCCAATTTGTCTAGATCACTCTGAATCTTAGCCCTACCCTCCAGCATATCTACTACTTCCCCCAGCTTGGTGTCATCTGCAAACTCGTTGAGGGTGCACTCTATGCCATCTTGCAGGTCATTGATGAAAATATTGAACAAAACTGGCCCCAGGCCCGCCCCCAGGGGCCCTCCACTTGATACTGGTTGCCAACTAGACATCGAGCCATTGATTACTACCCTCTGAGCCAGATGCTCCAGCCAGTTTTCTATCCACCCTACAGTCCATTCATCCAGCCCATACTTCCTGAGTTTGCCTGCAAGAATGTTGTGGGTGACCTTATCTTGGGAGAGCCTTGTTAAAAATCAAGGTATGCCACATCCACTGGTCTCCCCAAGTCCACAAAACCAGTCATTTCATCATAGAAGGCAATCAGGTTCGTCAGGCATGATTTGCTGACTGTTCCTAATCACCTTCTTCTCCTCCAGGTGCTTCGAAATGGATTCCTTGAGGAGCTGCTTCATGATTTTTCCAGGGACTAAGGTGAGACCAATCAGTCTGTAGTTCCCTGGATCCTCCTTTTTCCCTTTCTTAAATATGGGCACTATGTTTGTCCTTCTCCAAACATCTGGGACCTCTCCTGATAGCCATGAGTTTTCAAAAATTATGGCCAGAGGCTCTGCAATCTCATCAGCCAACTCCCTCAACACCCTCAGGTGCATCCCATGTGGTCCGATTGATTTGTATATGTCCAGCTTTTCTATATAGTCCCTAACCTGTTCTTTCACCACTGTTGGCTGCCTGCCTCCTTCCCAAACTGTGCTGCCATGTGCAGTAGTCTGGGAGCTGACCTTGCCTGTGAAGACTGAGGTGAAAAAGGCATTGAGTACTTCAGCCTTTTCTGCATTCTCTGTCACTGGGTTGCCTCCCCCAGTCAGTAAGGGACCCACACTTTCCCTGATCCTCCTCTTGCTACCAACATACTTGTAGAAACCTTTCTTGTTACCCTTCACATTCCTTGCTAGCTGCAACTCCAACTGTGCTTTGTCCTTCCTGACTTCATCCTTGCATGCCCAAGCAATCCTCTTATACTCCTCCCTAGATATCTGTCCAAGTTTCCACTTCTTATAAGCTTCCTATAAGATTCATGATGAACATAAACTCACTGACTACCAACCTCTGTTAATGCCATCCACAGAACTACTGTGAAACTCTGTTGAATCCTGCATGGGGTATAGAGTGCTTATATGTGCTCTCTTGGCTTAACATACCAGAGCAGTGGAAAAGTACTTGGAACCTATCATGACTATGAAACCAGCTCAGCATTTGCCCCAATAAAGGAATTCAACTGTTGCAGAAAGCCTGCACAAGGCCTACACACCTTTTAATGGACGACGAGACAGATTCAGATGATTTACAGGACTTGTACTGGCTCTATACAAAGTATTTAATTTCTTCTACATGAATAAAAATGTTATGCAGCAACATTACATATTTACAATTATTCCATGGCATAAGGAATGTATAGCAATAAATATTATGCTCCATTTTTACAGTGCAAAGCAACTTTCACATTATGTGTTTGGGGAGGGGTGGATATTGCTGTAATACTGCCAGAGAATGATGGCAGCAATAGCCATGCATTTTGGATGCTTTACAGCTTTATGACTTATATCAGGAAGAAGGTTCATTGAAAGTTATTTCAGCTTTTTGTCTTTCCAAGTTTATTTTTTTAGACTGTTTCTTAGAATATAGTGTTTTCAGCCTATCTGAGAGCAAAACAGGAGGGATATACCATAAGCATGTGGGGGAAAGCCCCTCGTCTCTTATTTACACACAAGGAAACCTCCTTAAATATACTGTCTATCATTAAACTGCTGCCAAAAGCAACATATGCTCAGTAATGGAAACCAACTCTGAAGTGGATTGAATGCAGCCAACACTGAGTGCGATTATAAAACACATGACCCATTCTCTATGATTCCCATTTCTTCACTGGCTCTAGCAAACATCATCAAACAGGGCCCCAAACAGTTCACCCAGAATCCCTCTGTCACTCGCTCTCTCAGCCTGTTGCATAGGATTAGTGTGGTCCCACCTTTCATGAGGTTGAAACTAGACCTGGTTGCCCTGCTCCTCATCTGCATATACATTTTGGAGGATCCCAGGACTCATAACAAGAACACCTGGTTCCAGCATCTGGAGTACACACACATACTGAACAGTGCGGGGCTCTGGGGTCACCATGGCTTGAAATGCTGTTGACTCTGATGGCAGCCAGTACAATGAACTGTTTGGTAAAATATGAGCCTCAGTTTTGAACTAAGATCACACCGTTTGTACTAACTATCACTTCTCGGCCTCTTGAAGGCTCAGATCAAGTGTAGCCTGTGCTTACCTGGCAAGGGAAACACTGTGACAACAGAAACAGTCTTCCTAGCCACACCAGGGAAAACCACTCTCCTGGCATGGGGATAGTACCTGCCAAGGTAATGTATAGTAAGCCTCCCACTTAGCTGCTGGAGTGGAAAGGTCTTGGCTTTAAGCCCACTTCATGGAAATGGGAGACTCCTCCCTGGCTTGCCCTTGGGGCCTTATGGTTGAAGGCAAGCAAAACTCGGGGACATCCA